TTCATTCAGTTGCCGATTTGAATCAATTGGGGCTATCGAATTCCCGTGCTACACTTTAGATTATGCAGTACATTCTTTTGCCCATAATCATCGATGTCATCAAACTAGCCATGAAACAAGGCACTATATTGATCGTAAGCCTCGCCCGTAATTCTGCAATGACGAGCTTTTTCTGTCTCTTCAGAGATCACAGCGCGCTGTTGGCTAGAGCTGAGAGTCCTAAAAGCACGATTCGAATTCTATCAGCCATGAGGATCCTTCAATTCCTATTTAGAATGATAGAATGAGAAGCACGATGGGTTCCATCCCTTTCTTCCATATCTCTGACTAGACTCGAGGATAATAAGCCAGCAAGAATAACGATTTCGGACAGAGGAAATTGAATCTGCATGATAGAATTTTTCAAACTGTCACGATTATTCTTAAAATTATTTCAAGAATTTTTCAGTAGAACTATCTGCTGTGTTTTGTTGAAGTTGTTTCCTCAAATTATTAAATACAATAGTTTGTTATTCATGTAAATTCTTGGCGCGTTTGTGAATTCCGCATTCCCTCTTCCCTCGTTCCCTTTTTTACATCATTCGTCGACCACATCGAATTCACTCTTCTGACAATGTCGCAACCTCAGTCGCACTTTTATCAAGACTTTGAATTCCATTCATCCCGTCCCGACATCCAATCCGTCATCGTCACCGGCGATTTCGATGAATGGTACTCATCATCTGTTCTCTCTTGATATCCTTTGCCCGTCGCTAGGTTTCAATTTATTAATCCTGGCACGATCATGAAGATCTCAATATTTGAATTCTGGACTTCTAAATTCCATCATTGCGTCTCGTCATTGACTGACTTTGAATTCTCTATCTGTTTTCGACTAATGCGTGACTAGGTCCGAATCGACGATTATGTTTCGAAACCAAGATTCTTGGAATGTAACTGTTAAACTTGACAAATCTCTATTCGAAGGAAAGAGAGTATGTCTTTTACACCTTTTTCTTCGGTCACTTTACTGTAATTTCCCATCTTTTGAGAAATTTCCCACAACGCGGATGTCGCTGCTGCAGTAGTTCGTGTTTTGGAAATTGGAGGAATAGGGTTTAACAACTTCGCACATCAAGACATCTAATCTTACGATATAATAATTTATTGGTTGGATTCGCCTTCGTTAAATCTTCGCTGCTATATCACGATCTAGATTCACTTCAAATTCATCGTCAACGGAACCGAGTGGGTCTGTAGTTCAGATTACGAGAGTGAACAAGACATGACAGGGAATGTAAATAATTATGTGAATGTTCCCGTATTTAACGATGAAGAGAATCAAACATCCGGTAACAAAGGAAACAGTAAGGCTGTGAAGAAGAATGGTAAATTTCGTATGCGAAGAGGCAAACTCTCTATCTCATGAGTTTCTCTAACGTTCCGCTTTTATTATCAACCGTACATCTCTATTTGGTTTAATTTTACAAGGTGAACGCAAATCACCAAGTCTACTTCAATTGTACAATCTGCCGAATCCACCGACATACGACGAAAAGAAAATCCAGGATCGTTTCCCCGTGAAATCAAGCAATCAGCAGAACGATTCTGCCAAACCGGTGGAGGAGAATACAATAACCACTACCACCAATCGTACTCTACCTCGTGATGAATCCCTTACCCATTTATCGGACGCCAAATATCTCGATAGTGACGACAAAGCTTTATTACCTGACAAACGATCACGACGATTCTTGGCATTTTTCTCCAAGAGAGGTAGAATTATGAAAGGCACCAGCGATGCCACACTTTTCGACGACAAAGATACCAAATCCCATAAAAACAAAGCTTCGGTCCCGGTACTGTCGAAACAATGGTGGAAGAAAGTCTTGGGATTGGATGTCAACGTTGAAATCAGTGGAACCGAAGTCACCATTTCCTAGACAATCAACTCTTCAAGAAAGATTTCATGAAGAAGTCTTAAATAAGACAGTTGTGGCCTTTCGTTGTGATTTCCATTCAATTTGATCCGCGATGGGCGGATTATGTACATAAACCTTTCCCTTAATTAAGAAGTGTTTACAAGTGAGGCGGGTAATTGATTTTGCAGGTTGATATGACATTACTCCTTTTCATCTATTTTTCCATTTATAAGGTTGCTTTTATTGTAGAATTATGAAGACTCACTTTATTTTAAATAAATATGTTTAAATGTGTTGAATGCGATTTCACTCTGAACGAGCATTGATAGTCAAGGGAATTTGACTAAGTCTAGCAAGACCCAACAGAAGCATTGTTTCGAACTAAATTTCATTGAATAAACCAACTTGATTCATACAATTCTCTAATTCTGATCAATCTATGTACAATTTCAAAAAGGTGTTAACATCCAAAACAGCAATTTTCGAAATAGTCTTGAATTTGTAGGTTTAAACTCTACTAGCCACGCATTTCTCATTTAACAATTTACCAGCGTTTTTGTCAAAACTGGCTTTACGACAGTGATCTAAATTCTCACATTGATGAGACTCTGGTAACCTATGTTTAGAGCAAAACCTTTGTTGACAAAATCTGGAAGAAAAAAATATAAAGATTAATTTCAAGGAACAAATGGTACCAATAATTTAATGCAAAATTTTATGTACCTGCAGTCACCGATAACTTTAGCGACCAACCCTTTACAATCATTCATTGAGCAATATTTTGATGCTTTTTTACCAGAGGGAGTAGTGGGTGTACCGGAATTTAAACTTTCATTCGAGTCCTTTAGCACACTGGAGTCGTTCGAAACAACGGATAATTCGATTCCTTGTTGATTTAATTTTTGTTCCGACATGTTGTTGCTGATAATTCTGTATTAACTGAAGGTTTCTTTGTAACCGGGCTGTGCTAGTGTTTTGTAGTTCTTCGTAGTTTACTCGAACAACGAGTTAATGAAGTGGAGAAGGGAAGTGCAAAGGTTTATATAACCCCGTTATCATGCTACGGGCTGTGTGAGGCTTCCAATGAGACATGTGGTGGTTTCTTTTGCGATCACTATATTTGGAAAGTGTAATGAATGGTGCTAAATAATTAATGGTTGGAATGGAGCAATCAGATTGCGGGTTTTCTATTTACGGTAACGGGGCCGCGTCTTCTGATCAGCGCCGCAGAAGGGAACATGTTAATCGTGCAGACGATCTCACCAATTGTACGATTAGTTGAGGTTTATTCATAATTATTATCACTTTCTGTATTAAGTATTGTTTCAGTTGCATGACTAGTCAAAGTTCTTCGTCGAGTAAATAGTTACTAATATGCACATGTTGGTTGGAATCTGTAATCACTCAGTATAGTTATTTTTTTAATTGAACGAGTGTCTTTGAGAAGTAAGCAGGGACACGATTGTCAGGAACAACTTTAATAAATCGTATTTTGTTGCACAATCTCCCTTTACCAACTAACGATACAAGCGCTCAAAATTCACATTATTTACACTATATCACACAATTTTTTTCGCAATTGCAGTCACACAAAATACAACCAACTTAAACAGTGGGGGTAGGTAAAGGAGGAAGAGAGCGAGGGATAGTGATGTTTAAGAAATATGCAGGCGTAAGTACTTGATCGATACCTATTGAATCAAAGATAAGGAATTAGATATGATGGTTACACCAATAAGCCTATATGAACATAGATCAACGTACCATGCCAGACACCATTAGTAGCATTTTGATCGCCCTTGATAACTTTAGCGTCGTTGACAAAGAACAATACGCCGGTTTCATTACTGGGTTTGAGATCCAATACGAAGGGCTGGAATGCTGTTGTGATGTTGGTTGGTGTGGTAGCGTTGGTAGAATTGACTGTGCCGTTGGTGTGCTACAAATGCAAATTAAGAACCGTTACTTGTCTGCCGGTAACAAGATGGCGTATTTAGATTGAAAAGAAAGCAACATACCACATGATACAATGCTAAGGCCTCCAAGAACATGGTGGTGTTAGTGTTATTGGCGTAATTAGTGTAATTTAGCGGCAATTTTTGGAAGGCTTGGTTTGAAGGGGCAAAAACTGTGATATTGGGATTGATCGCGCCATCTTGAGCGGAACCGTTGAGAATGGGTATATATTCGGCTGCGGATTTGTTTACAAAATCAATAAAGGTGGAGTAGTTGCCGTTGGCTTCCAATTGCTGCCAAATCGAAGTATTTTGAGCGGGACCTGGATCTTGGCGGGCGAAAAGATGATGAGCGGCCGGGCTCGGATGAGTGTGAATGGAGGTGGTGAGGAGAGTGAAAGCAACGGTAACGAGGAGTCCGAAAGATTTCATCATTTTGAATATTCTCTTATATCTGTTGGTATGAGTAGCTGGCAGGTCTGAAAAACGATTTAACTGATACCGATTGCAATTTCATTGCTGCCCCACCTTTATAGGAGGATAGGAGGGAGCACTTAAGCTCATGGCTAATTCAATCTTTCCCGTTAATTGAATGAATTCATTTAGCAATGATTAACAGTTTCTATCGGTTGTTTCCACTTCATCATTTCGTCAATGACAGCATTGGATCTGCCATTTCATCAGTTCCTTTTCGCGTTCGCCGTTCACTCTCGTTTTGCCTCTTTTGCTCATTTGCAATTTAAACTCAACGACCATTGTCTTTTTCGATCGTGACGCAATTAACCTTTTCTGTTCGTTGCTTCTGCAGCGGATTACCGGCAGATTACACAACTGTCAAGCCAAATGCGGGACGAACAATCGCTGAGTTGATGTAGCAGGGACTGCGGGCCCTGTTTCTCTGAAAGTCCACTGAGGAAAAAGATTGACGTCAACGATTTCTTGTCCAACATGAAAAAATTTTTCAGTCAACTGACATTCGATGGTATTCACTAATATTCACTGTTGAGCAGAGCAAACATGGCAAAGCAGATTAAAAGCGTATGAAAAATGCACATCTCGAGACACATAATGCAGACTATGCAGATTCCATGTCATGATACTCTAACATATCTGGATAAACAGCTATTAGTGCACATCGACATCAGCCCGGGTAGCTCAGTTGGTAGAGCGTGCGGCTTTTAAGTGGAAAAGTTCCTCTTGAATGGCCACCGCAAGGCCCTGGGTTCGAGCCCCAGCTCGGGCGTCTTTTTTCCTTTTTTGGGTTTTGTATTGTAATTATTGCTGAATTGCTGAAGTAGATCTATCAGGACTACTTTTATGTATTCGTTTTTGTCTCTGCGTCGCTTGGATATCGCTAAAATACCTTTGGTAGTTGCTAGAGAGAGCTGCCAAAGAGGGTCTGCACTCTGTATGCGTCGAATGAACAAAACGCATATAGAGTACATATCATATACTTTTCACACCTTGCTGGCGGGTCCTCTACCATATATAAGATATATTTAATATTCGGTCTATCTGTAATTTTTGCATATGATATTAAGCAAAGCAGAAAGAAGGAGCAACACGTGACATACACGTGATTTTCCTTTACAGCAGTTTCAATTCCCTTTTTTCCTCGCAACGAAATTTCTTCCGTTCTCATCGTCACCACCACCATCATCATTGTCATCCCTCGTCCGACAGCAGTATCCGTCGTATCTCGCCATCCCTCTGACGGATCAGTCCTCCTTCCATCCTCCTTTTCTTCCCAAGAGACTGCTAGGCCCCTGCTCCCTGCCTCTCGGAATAAGCAATCGTCCGTTTCTCATCCCTGAAACGACCCTTTCGCAATTGATTTCGTCTACAACTCGCTCTTAATCAACCTCAAACGGCAATTATCTTACTGGTACAGATTACCCTCTCTGTAAGTTTCATTTGTATTGCTCGTCGTCCATCCAAGAAGCGTTATCAGACTCCCAATTTGGAGATTTCGTGGCGGAGCGATTAGGTAAATAGTTGCATGCTCTTCGTTTCATTGTGATTGCTTTTCTCTTTTCCTTTATCTATACAGTATCTGCGAATGCTCTATACGCTAGTCCAGCATCACTGTCCTCCAAGGTATTCAAGATTAGTTGAATCATCGTGAGAACGTAGTCTGTTCAAATTCCCTTTGAGCGATTTCATTTGGACTTCTTTCCGTTACTTCACTGTGGGGTGGTTACTTAAATCATTGTCTCCGTATTTTCTCCATTCAACGTTATTGCGGACTACTCTCCTCCTATATCGATGTCACTTTTGTGAATGCACGTACCCAACTTTGAGATTTGGTTTGCTAACCTGTTCTTTTTGGCTCAGTTACCATTTATTTTAATCAGTGAACACTAAATTAAATTGAAGAAAAATCGGATAACTTCGAAATTTAGCATTATTTTAATTATTTCAAGGTATTTTCGTCGGTTATCAAAGGTGCAGCTGTAGCATGCTCTGACCACCCACTACAACACAGAACCTTCGGATCATCAACATATCCGCTCTCCCCCCACACACGCAATGTCATTATTTTTTACTTAATTACTACGCAAAGCTTTTCACCACAACCTTTCAAATTCACCTCATAACACACATCCACCTTTCCCTTCAAACAGTATCCTCCGTTCAGTTTATGATGACCCAAGCCCATCACGATATTTCGTATTCAACCCGTGACGACGATCCCAGCAATGATACCCTAATGTCTGCTACAGATGATTCGCTCAAGTCTTCAAAATTGAACGTTTCGAATCACAACGACGAATCGAGGCAATCTCCGCCTACAAACGACATAAATCGTATTTCGGAAAACCAACCCTCCTCGCACAACTCGACAGCAATATACAAACTACACAACTCACAAAAGTCAGTTGATTCAAAGTCGCCATCAATCCCGTCAGCTAATTCTAAAAACCGTCAGCATCTACAATTGGATGTAGAAGATGGATCGGATCTCAGCAGCGTGAACAGTGATGGATTAAGCGATTTGTCCGAAAGTGAAGATGGTGATGATGGTCAAAGGATCAATGATAGCGGTAGTGATGAAGACTCTGTAGGAAACGTTACTGACAACAGTGATGGATCAACAGTGTATTCTTCCTCACCGCCGAGGCGAAATGCTAAACCCCGGAGCAGAAGTCATTCATCGTCATCCAGCATTGATTATACATCGTCTTCAAATACAGATTTGTCATCATCGTCTGTCAATTCCGACGACGACATTGAAGGTGAACAGTCTTCACTTCGTAATCCTTCTCACAAGTCCAAGTCACACACATCTCGAGGCCGAGGTCACCGTCGACGTGGACGACCACCGAAAGTTCACAGTATATCCCGCTCTGCACATTCTTCACCACCATCATCTCGTCAAACTTCCCCTTCAGGACATCAGAAAAAACCATCCAGCCTACATCGACGGCCTGGCAGGCGGTCAACGACTAATCCAGATCATTTTGATATTGAAGATGTCCATCGCCGAGATAGAAGTGGCAGGACACCGATATTTCGGTTTGCTGTTAAAGGTGATTTAGAGGCTGTCAATAAGTTAATACAGGCCGGTGCAGACGTTAATGTAAAGGATTACGCGGGTTGGGTTCGTAATTACACATTATTTCTGTATATTATTTCAAGTGATTTAACAGGTTGCTTTCATGTCTTTTCAGACTTCTTTACACGAGTCTATTGTCCACAATCACCATGAAATCGTAAAACTGCTTCTTGAAAATGGCGCAAATCCGAATGCTCAGTCAATTTGTAACGGTGATTCGCCACTGCACGATGCTGCCGAATGTGGCCCTCCGAAAACAGTAAAACTTCTGCTACAGTTTGGAGCGTCGACACAATTGAAAAACGAACGTGGACTGACACCCGAGGAAGTCGCCGAAGATGATGAGATAATAGAGCTCTTACGATTTTATGAGAAAATCGAGAAATCTTTAGAAAAGCGAGATTCTAGTGGGCAGACATTTCTACATAGATTGTGCTCAAAGGGCGATCTAGAGATGGTGACCGAATTGGTTACTAGGAGGAGGATACCCGTCAATCCAAAGGATAATGCTGGCTGGACTCCACTCCATGAGGTTCGTGGTCTTTCGAATAGCACCTGTCATTTTTTTTTCCGCATATAATTAACTCTCGACTTAACTTTTAATAGGCCGCGTTAGAAGGACACACCGAGATCGCTCGAATACTAATCCTACGCGGCGCAACAGTCAATTCAAAAGGATTTAGAAACGATACACCACTTCATGATGCCAGCTCTAATGGTCATTATGATCTCGTTAAATTATTACTGGATTTTGGAGCCGACCCAAATGCTACCAATGATCAAGGGCAAACACCAGCGGCTGTCGCCGCAATACCCGAAATACAGACTTTGTTGAAAAATTTTAAATTCGACCCATCTAAGTTGCCACCAGTCATCCATAATCCAGCGACCGATATTTTCCGACTTCCATTCTCGCCCGAGAACAGCCAAGAAGCTATTAATATTAAACAAGAATTTCAAGAACCGAATAATCGCAATCATTCACAAAGCCAATCCAGGCATCGTCGGTCCGTGTCGACCACCTCTTCACAGTCACAATCCGTTGCCTCAGAAGAGACCGGGACAGTCGATCATGAGTCAGGTCAATATTTAAGTAGAGAGGAACGCAAAATTCAGGCGTACCTTGCTACTTTTGCTAAACTAGAGAAACGACAAGAAAGATCAAAAAAATACAAGCAAACACGATATGGACAACCGAGCTCAAAGAATGAAGACGAATATGATTCAGACGATGACCGAGAAATTGCAAAATCCAATCGAGGTCGAGTTTCATCGTCCCCTAGGGTTTCCTCCCATCGAAAAAATCACAGGGACAATACTCCCTCGTCTTCGCCGCGGCATGGTCATAAGTCGACGCATCATTCTGGGTCGAGTCGAAAGTCATCGAAACGTAAACAGAAGAAATCAAAATACGGATCTTTAGACATTAATCATCGAGATGGAAGTGGTAGAACGTATCTGCATAAATTTTCCGCTAAAGGAAAAGTGGATGTGGTGAAAGATCTGATAAAGAGGGGTGCTAGCTGTGAATGCACGGACAACGCTGGTTGGGTACGTGATTTTCTAGTGACAATTTTTCCATGGTGCTGTGCTTTCTCAGCCTGCTCGATTAACACTTTCGTCTTGTCGTGACTAGACTCCGCTCCACGAAGCTGCTCTTCGAGGTCACCACAATGTCGTCAAAGTTTTACTAGCGCATGGCGCTGATCCAAATGCACCAGGATTTAATAAAGATACCCCTCTCCACGATGCCGTTGCAAACGGACATACCGATGTAGCACTCTGTTTACTCGACCATGGCGCCGAAATCGAAAAACCGAATGCCGAAGGAACTTACCCGTTGGATGTAGCCAAAGATTTAGAAGATGACGGTGAGATGGAAGAGTTACTTCGAAAAGCGTTGGACGAGCGAAAGAAAACGGTAGTAAAATCGGAACCGTCAAGTTCTAGCAGGAATATAGGTTCAGAAGCGGAAATTAAAGAACCGGCAGTAACTGTGAAAGCGGAAGAATTAGAACCTCCGAGTCGACCGACTGTTGAAGAAGAACAGCATTCGGGAAAAGAGAACGATTCAAATCGTGTGGTTGGAGAAAGCGAGGTATCTGAGACGGAACCCGAATCAGATGCTGAAGGTACGTAGCTGTGATTGACGTTCCAACAAACTTTTTTCTAAACCTTTTTTATTCATTGGTAACAGCTTTCCCAGCAAAACGAAAAGGTCCATCGCCACATAAACCGGCCAAACGAATCAAATTAGACGATAGTCCTTCTCCGAAATCTAAGTCACCCGAAAAGGTTCAAATATCATCTACTGTCCCGACAAAACCCACGCTGGCAGAGTCAAAACCTCTACCGAAGGCGAAAGCGGCCTCTCCGATATCTGATACTCCGGGTACCGCTGAAACAAAAACTCGCCCTCCAGTCAAGCCCGCCGAAGTTAAGAAATCCGAACCACCGCCATCTTCAGTCCTACCCCCGACACAGCAGAGAGCTACTCTCTCTCGCTCTGGTTCTCAAGAACCCGTGGCACATTCATCTAAATCACGATCATCAGTATCCGAAGCGACCAATGATTCTGTCTCATCAAAACCCGTGCGTGATTCCACTGTCAAAGTCAAGAAAAAAGTTAAGCGACCCTTTTTAATGGGTATATCCGGCTATCAAAAGATTGGCATGGAACAGCCCGT